TCATTGGTTTATCATAGAGGTTTTAGGAGTAAATACTATTTAGAGCGCTTATATTGGTTTGTTTAGCGTATCTATATTACGATACACGTGGTATCAAATATTTTTATATGTTATTGGAGGATGTATATGGTTGGTGCAAGAATACATTCTTTCTTATCGGGCTTTCCAGGGAATTGTTTGTACTAACCGCAAGTGTCGTGGGCCGCCGCCGCACAATTCTAACAATTCGATCGATGACGGCGTTCGTGAATAATTTGAGGAAAAAATTCCAAAATCGTGGAACTCCATTATATTTGTCCACCTGAGCCCCACGAGGTCGCATCGGTGTTTGACAATTGTAATGTTGGACAATCAACATTCAACTCTTCAATTTCCGTTAGTTTGGACATATTTTCATATTTGTTGTCTCAGCCGACGAAATCGGTATGGATAGATAATGTCCTTTTGATTAGTTTGTTTGTAGGCAATTTTTTGTTATTTATTAGTTCTTGTCATAGGGAAATAAGACAAGAAATAGTATATGGTTTGGCTGATATCATAGAGGTTTTAGGAGTAAGTACTATTTGGAGCGATTATATTAGTTAGCGTAACGATATTACGATACACGTAGTATCAAATTTTTTTATATGTTATTGGAGGATGTATATGGTTTGTGCCAGTATACATTCTTTCATATCGGGTTTTTCAGGAAATTTTTTGGACTTACCGCAAGTGTCGTGTGCCGCCGCCGCGCAATTCTAATAATCCGATCGATGACGGCGTTCGTGAAGAATTTGAGGAAAAAAATTCCAAAATCGTGGAATTCTATTAAATTATTGTTATCATTTTTTTAATTTTATTTGAATGTATTGTGGTGGATCTTTGTCACTTCATTCCACAAGCCTCAAGACGAGTGAGAATGAAAACGAGAGAATTTCTTTTCCACGTAAGCCCCACGAGGTGGCAGTGGTGTTTGACAATTGTAATGCTGGACAATCAACATTCAACTCTTCAATTTCCGTTAGTTTGGCCATATTTTAATATTTGTTGTCTCAGCCGACGAAATCGATATGGATAGATAATGTGCTTTTGATTAGTTTGTTTGTAGCCAATTTTCTTTTAGTTATTAGTTTTTGGCTTAGAGAAATAAGACAAGAAATAGTCAGTGGTTTGGCCGATATCATAGAGATTTTAGGAGTAAATACTATTTTAAGCGCTTATATTGGTTTGTTTAGCGCATCTATATTACGATACACGTAGTATCAAATATTTCTATATGTTATTGGAGGATGTATATGGTTTGTGCCAGTATACATTCTTTCTTATCGGGCTGTCCATGGAATCGATTGGACTTACCGCAAATGTCGTGGGCCGCCGCCGCGCAATTCTAACAATCCGATCGATGACTCGTTCGCGAAGAATTTGAGGAAAAATTCCAAAATCATGGAACACCATTATACTTGTCCACCTAAGCCTCACGAGGTGGCAACGGTGTTTGACAATTGTAATGTTGGACAATCAACATTCAACTCTTCAATTTCTGTTAGTTTGGCAATATTTTCATATTTGTTGTCTAAGCAGACGAAATCGGTATGGATAAATAATGTGCTTTTGATTAGTTTGTTTGTAGGCAATTTTATGTTATTTGTTAGTTCTTGTCTTAGGGAAATAAAACAAGAAATAATCAGTGGTTTGACCGATATTATAGAGGTTTTAGGAGTAAGTACTAATTAGAGCGATTATATTGGTTTGTTTAACGTATCTATATTACGATACACGTGGTATCAAATTTTTCTATATGTTATTGGATGATGTATATAGTTTGTGACAGTATACATTCTTTCTTATCGGGTTGTGTATGGAATTATTTGGACTTACCGCAAGTGTCGTGGGCCGCCGCGGCACAATTGTAACAATCGGATCGATGACGTCATTCGTGAAGAATTTGTGAAAAAAATTCCAAAATCATTGAAATCCATTATATTATTATTACATTTTGGCAAAATTGCCCATAACTCCCTTGTGGTTTCGAAACTCAGCGTAAATTCCCCCTCTACTTTAAAAATTGCATGGAGGCTTGGAGGCAGCGTTTCATGCAAGGTTTTTTAACCCTCTCCCGACAGTCTCACTCATGGACCTTCTGGAGATCAGGCAGATGCCGGAGGAGACCGCTTACCACTTCATAGAGCGGATACGACTAATGAAGAGACGTTGCCCGACAATCATTACGGAGAGCGAGATGACCAATTTGGTGGTCATGAATATGCATATACGACTGCGGGAGGCTTTGACGGCCCACGACGTTCAAGATCTGGCCAGTGTAGCATCCAAGGCAGGAAGGTTAGAATCATTTTTTAAAGAAAATGATCACGATTTCTGTCAGGGGGGAGGTGCTGAAGCAATGGTAGTGCAAGATCGACCAACGTGCAGGCCAGCACCAGTCCGCAATAAATGGAGGTCGGGTCCAATGTAGCCTCGAAAGATGGAGGTCGGATCTGAGGCTGACGTGGCCTCGGATGGCGGCCTGCTAACTCCTAAACATCACAAGTAGTGACGCTTAGGAGTCTTGCGGATGAGGCATATTGTTGAGTACAAAAAATAATAAAAATAATAAAAATAGCAGTAGGATCCTGGATGGGTCTGAATATAAGCCAAACGACCCAGAGGTCGGGCAAAATAAAGTCGGACAAGGAAAGATGACGGCGTTACGAAGGTCGGGCAAGATGAAGGTCGGGCGAAGAAAGATGAGATGGCAGACGCTGAGGTCGGTCAGAATAAAGGTCGGGCGAAGGAAGATGAGACGGCTGACGTGGAGGTCGGTTGAAAGAGGAAGTCGGGTGAAAAAGGACGGCTGATGCGGAGTTCGGTTGAAAGAGGAGGTCGGCCGAAGAAGCAGGTCGGATGGTACGCAGTCAGATAAGCAGGTCGGTTGGTCTGCAGTCTGACCAAAGGAAGTTGGTCGGTTGGTCCGCAGTCCGACCAAAGGAAATTGGTCGGTTGGTCTGCAGTCCGACCAAAGAAAGTTGGTTGGTTGGCCCACGGACGGGCCAGGGTAAGGCGGTCGGTTGAGCCGACCGGGCCATTTGAGTGCGGTAACGGGTGCGAGCGGTTGGTGAGTCGGTTAAGACACGTGTCGACGGAGGAGGACCTTGCGGGCGGTGAAAGGCGGTTCGGAGGCAGTTGCAACTGGCGTACGGATAAGGAAGTTGCAACTGGCGAACGGATAAGAAAGCACGACCTCATCGTGGTGGTTGGCCGAGCCATTTGACAGCGGTTGCTGTAATTGACCAGATGGTGGACGGTTGACAGCGGTTGCTGTAACCGACCAAATAGTGGCTTAAACCGCTTCTTTAAGGGGTTATTTAAGGACCCGGTTCTGTTCGAAAATGCATCTTCAATCGACAAAAAATTCTAAGAATTGTCTTTGGGGATCACCACTTTATTTTTTCAGTCAATAGTTTTAGTTTTGCTTAGTTAATTTTATTTCAGTACCTCACAGTTTTTAGAGATTCCCAATCTCAGACACTCACCTATCAAATTCTAAGATATTCTCTATTTTCGAGTTTTACTTTTATTTTGTTGAAAATTTGCATCAACAGGGACTATTTTAATACAAATTTAAGTTACGTGATTAAAATGATAAAGTCCACTCAAATGCCTAAAAAATCAATTTACTTTAAATAAATATAAATGTAACGACCATGGCTCTCAATATAATACTCCCTCCGTCCCATATACCGTGTCTGCTACACTGTAGACACGGTATTTTAGGAGGGGTGTAATTAGTAGATAATTAAGAATGTATTAGTGAAAATAATTATCCTATAATATAAATAATTATAAATTAAGATTAACATAACTAATTAGTTTAACTAAAATTTAAAAAAATTAAAAAGTTTAAAATGAGATTAAAGTATGTAATCATTTTTTAAAGGAAAGTGACATGGAATGTGAGACGGACAGAAACGGCAACGTGAACATAGTATGTGGGACGGAAGGAGTAAAAGATTCTGAGCATAAGTTTTCATGACCATTTAGTGCCCAAGTTATGTTTGAGACATCATTAGAAATCAGGAAATAGAGAAAGAAGACTATGGATCCCCAGCTGATTCAATTTCAGCCATTGATTGAACTTGATATGTAATTAAGAGAGTGTTTGATAATTAGTTTTTTTTTAACAACTTTTAGTTTATTTAACAGGTTTTAGCTATTTCACCGGTCAAAAAACTAATTAGAGTGTTTGGTAAATAAACTTTTTGAACCACTACTACAAAAAAAAAAAAAATTACCCACGAAAAAATCCGTGAGTAATCCATGAAAAATCAATGAGTAAATTGATTACTCATGGAATTCCATCCGTTGGTATTCTGTTAGCAAATATCTCGTAAGCAATTCGTCATAAAAAAAAAAAAAATCAATGAATTCTGTAAGTAAATTACTCACGACATCACCACGAAATTTTATCCGTGAGTAATTTGCTCACATAATTACTCACGAACTTTGTCAACATAAATTTTGTGAGTAATTCCGTAAGTAAAATCAACAAACTTCCTTATTTGCGACGGAATGATTCCATGAGTAATTCCGTAAATAATTTACTCACAAAATTACTCATCTGTGATAACATGTCAACATGATGTTTGACACAGAATAATTTTTGTGAGTAATTCCTTGTAATTTTCCCGACCCTCCAAAAAATGTATATTTCGATTTATCTAAACTCGTCCCAAACTATACATTACGACAACACAAATCTAAACCATAAAGTAAATCACACGAAACCAAATATCCAAGAAACAAAATAAGATCGAATCACTCGATATTTATAAGCATAGTTTTGCAATCGATGAATACCACAAAAAACAGTAAATATAACCGTACATAATAGTAGATACCGTACAACATTAAAGTTTAAATACTTAGTACAAAAACCAACAAACAAGTGAATTGAATATGTTACATAGAAGAATAATATAATTAAATTCTATATACAACATCACATTAAATATCTATTTATATCATTTCAAACGACAATTTCAATCAAAATTTTACTATTTCTAATACACCAAATCACAATTACAATGTTGCCATTACTCAAGGAATCAAGGTGTCAATCTTCTTTGAAGTCACCCCAATTGAGTTAAAGAATATCAACAAAGACATTACAAGGATGAACACAAAATATTCAGGGTGCTTGAAGCTACACAACTATGGCCAAGAGGCCCAAGACAGAAGGCAATACAAATTATAATGGCCACCTCTTTAGAATATATATATATATATATATAAATTTCATTTGCCCAAAACCAATGCAGCTGGCTAGGTGTAGTCCTTTCTATCAAAACCATGTCATATATTAATATATGAAGGTACAACCGAGCTTCACTCCCCAAGCATACAATGTAGCAATTAGCAAAACTGCATGCTATTTCCATCGAGTGTGAAGTTCAATAATTACTTCTATATATTTTAACATGCAATAGCAATTTTTCCCCTGCCTTTTGAAATAGTTCTATTGAATACCTGAACCCAATTCTTTAAGAAAAGAAAATGGCATGCCGATAAATAAATCCAAACTCTGTTAAGTACCTAACAAATAAAAAAATGGATGAATGTTATGACGACGAAAAATTAAAATCATTTCAAGGGTTATACCTGAAATAACGACGAGATTGGACATACTTTTTTATGCAAAATTAGTAACCCACAACAAACCATGAAAGAGCCTTGAATACATAAAACACAGGAAATCACCAAAGCATACTTTTGGAAGTTTTAATAAGAAATATTAAATCTATAGATAAGGCATTCGTCCCAATATAAAAGATGGAATTCTTAAGGAAAGGATATTTAGACATCTAGTTTAAATAATAGGCACTGTACATATATATAACAGTAAAAGTGTGGGAAAAATAGTGATAAAATAAATATTCCTATTCATGTCAATGACAAGGGTAAATTGATTGTGCAAAAATGTACATGCATTCTCACCTTTGAGGATAGTCCTTAACTAAATTAAATGCCATTAGATAGAGCTCATGAGAATGCCCAAGCTCCACGGTTTCTTTAGATGAAATGGATCTTCTCAAGCAATCTGGATTAAAGAAGAAATAAAAAAGTTTATGAGTAATGGTAAAATTGCAACACTGAGTTTCCTTCAAAATAGCTACAAACTTTCATTGAAGTCAATTCAAGACATTTCTGGTACTCACCAAACTGATGGTAGTACTCTGCTTTGCAAGCTAAGAGATCAGTGTTGTTCGTAAGTGAACATATCGATTTGCCAAATGTCTCTGTATCAGAAATTTCTTGCTCTAGTTCCTTAAATTTGAGTTCAATATTCTCTTTATATTGGCATGCAATGATATAAACAATTATTACAATATTCCAAAATATATATACATAAACAAATTCAGATTAAATGTCCAGTGCAATGAACATAAAATCACATCACTGCTTAAATCTGCATTCACCTTCTTTATTAAACATGAATAAAATCAACGCCATACGTCATCTTGGCCAAATTGCAATGTAGCTAATAAATTGGTCTCCGGAATACAAAAATAGCTGAATTAGGTTTTGAATTAAAACATGGACTAACCAGTAGGACAACACTTGATTCATTTTCCCCAGAATTTAGGGATGCAGAACCTGTTGCAGTCTCAGCCTACATTAAAGAAGATAAAGCTAACATTCACATAGAAAAGCATTCCGGTACAACACCAATAATTTTGAATTAAAACATGATTAATTCTCATTGATTGCTGTAATAGATGAACAATACATAAAAGATGAAATGGCTTATAAGAATATGCAACTTCAAACCATCAAATTAGTATATAACTTATGAACCATTAAAACAATAAGAGATGGCAACCTACTTTACCTAATAAGCTAAAAAGAGGGCACAATGAAGATGACTAGGAGTTTATAGATGGGAATGCAGGACAACAAGCAATGGAAAACCTTTGAAAACCACATGATGTTGTTTATTATGCTTGGTTTTTAAATATATGGTTCGGCAACTTATGATTTTGTTCTCTAATGGTATGTTTTGTTACGTTTAGGTGAACAAAAATATAAGATCTAGTGTCTTCTATAATTGTCTGCCAGTGCCACATAGAAATAGATACTCTAGCTAATCACATCATTAAGACTAGAAGATTGCATAAGGTTACCAGATCAGGGTCTGGACAGAGGACTCTTGTCTAAGTAACTCATATTTGGTGTTGCCAGACAGTTTGGTAACATAGGACAAAGTGTTTGAGTTTCTGCCACTCCTAACTAACTCAAGAGTCTATCTGCTGCTACAAATAAATAAACAGTCTTTATTTATTTACCATTTTTGGAAAGGAAGCAAGCAAGGAAGGAAGGAACCCCATTTGGTTTGGAGGAGAGACAATTTGTTTCCATGATGTACCAATGTTGACATTAAGAAAATAATAATAATAATAATAATAATAATAATAATAATAATAATAATAATAATAAAATAAAATCAATTGCAAATCTAATCGATAAATAGTTAAGAGGTAGTTGGGAGCACACTTACAATAGGAGGCATCAGAGGCTGAATACCCACGTGGACTAACCAGCAGGGCAACACCTGAAACATCAGAAGTGTCACCAGGGAAAATAGCAAATTCCACCGATGAGGCAGCGGAGGGACCTCTCCAAAATGATTTCTTTTCCCCAGAATTTAGGGGAGATGCCACTAGTAGGGTGCAGAACCTGCTGCAGTCTCAACCTACATAAAAGAAGATAAAGCTAATATTCACACAAAAAAGCATTCCAATACAATGTCAATAATTTTAAAGTAAAATATGAGTAATCTTCATTGGTTGCTGTAATAGATAAGCAATACATTAAAGATGAAATGGCTCATAAGAATATGCAATAAATATAAATAAGACAAAGAAACAATTCAGATCCTCCAAAGAATACCCAAAACTTAGATTGCCTTGTAAATCATGTAAAAGTGAAATATGTCATGTTTAATCCACAAACATACTAGTAGACTTTCACATTAAATTTGAGGGTTAAGTCAATGACATAGTCCTTTGGCTCACAAACTCATCTTTCATAAGATTATCGCAAGGAATTACATACATTTCTCCGTCAACATGATGGTGGCACTTGAATGGCAGGGATCGACCCATCATACTTATTTCATAAAACATAAGCAAGCAGATGGAGTACATTTCATATAGGTGTAAACTGGTTCAAGAAATGCATTATGTAGTATCAAGGTTTAATTGCTTCTACAATATTCACTGGTAAAATATGTTGTCATTCTTCCTTAATATAAAAAATTTCAAATTAGTTTCCATTTTGTTTTTCCTCACAGTTTATAAATCATATATATGCTAACAGAATACTAAAGTTAATTTTTAAACTATTCTTTATCAAGCACAATCATGAATCCATAGTTTTCTTCAATACAATGTATCTCCCACGTGACTAAACACTACAAATAGAATGTATCATTCTTTTATAGGAAAGTAGATCTGCATGGCATTACATAGGTATTTGCATATTAAATCATTCAGCACGCACCCCACAGTCGTTATTTTCATAACTGATGAAATAATTATGTTTATACATGCAATGATGGAACTTGAGCATTAGGTCTACTGCTCTGATTTCATGTTCAAACAAAGATCCCACCTAATCAGTTAAATTAATATACACACATATATATATATATATATATATGGGTGTGTATGTAGATTATGAATGAAAGTTATTTATGAGCAAACATATATACTTGTATAATATTCCAATGCAGCCATTATGAGCAAACAAACTTATTTATGCTTTTTCTATAGATGGCCGATGCCAATGATGGTGAGGATTTGAACTTGAAACATGCTCTATTGAACTATCATTTTAGCTAAAAAATTTAAAATAATAGTAAAGTGTAATGCTTCACAGACACGCGCACACACAAACATCCACATGATTCCTACAACATTTCTCAAATAGAAGCACATACAAATGAATCATCATTATCTTTTCTATTAAACTCAATTGTCTTCTCACTTTTGCTTATGTAATAAAATTTCAAGAAACTCAACCAAGCTATGTTATTATCTCTTTTATAAGAGTAATATTAAAGCAAATGACAACCTACTTTACCTAATAAGTTAAAAAGAGGGCTCAATGAAGATGACTCAGAGTTTATAGATGGGAATGCAGGACAACAAGCAATACGTCAGGCCTGATGCATAGCTTTGAGGTTAATGTCTAACTTGAAACTAGTACGAAATTAAAAAATAATAATATTAAATTAAAAGGACTATAACGTAGAATATTAATAATCAAATTGTCCTTAATTTATAAAAATTTAAAAAAATTATATTAAAGTGATAATTACGGAAAGTTTTTGAAAAATAGATATAGGTTTGTTGTATAGTAAAAAAACTACGTCGACTGACTAAGTAAAAAAATTAAACAATTATTTTAGGATGGGTGAAAATAAAGAAAACTCTTCTGAAATAAAAGAAGTATATTTTGGTATGTACCCAACCATGTTTGGCATGAAAACAGTTTATATGAAACGACTCCGTGGAGATTATTCTAGATGCTAAAATCGTCAACCTACGTGCATGCAAATTCCACCAAGTAAATAATAAAGATAAAAGTTAAAATATAGGGAGAAAAAATGTAGTTCAATATAACTAAAATTACTATATACATAAGACAAAAACTTTACCATTTACATTTTTTTTATTATTAATTTATTAATTTATATATATATATATATAAATATATTAAATAGTAACTTCATATGCTCGGACATGACCTAAAAACTTTCGAACCTATTTTTGAAGGTTCAAATACAGTTTTTTTTATGTTCGGTTTGGATCGAATTTTCAAATCGTGCTTATTTTTGCTAGCTTTAGTTAGTTGTCACACTGCCGGATTTAATTATATTTGTACATAACCATGTTTCTTTCTGTTTTGATCTAAATTTTTGTTATTTTTTTTTTCTGAAAAAAATAGATATATTAAATTTAGAGTAATTGATATAATAGTTAAAAATTAAAGTGTACAAATTTGAAAATGTTAAATCCAATTTCACTGTTTTGTGTCCATGTCAAGTCAGTGGCCTGTAGTCAACAATTTTTATTATTATTAGTTTTTTAACAAGTGAGACAAAAAATAATTAAAATTATTTATAATAAGACTACAATTGATGCGTATGTTTGTTTGATAATTTGATATTTCAATAGTAAAAGTTTTAAATTTGAATATTTGTATGATGTAATATAAAGAGGTGTTGATGTGATATTTTAAGGGTGTGTTTGTTTGATGGATTTCCCCGAATTTCTACTATTTACCAATTTTTTTTCACCTAAAAATATTAAATCAAATATTTATTTTTTATATTATACTAAAAATCAATTTTATATTTAAAACATCACATCAATATCTATTTACATCACATCATGTCACTATTTTAATTCAAAATTTTTATTATTTAAATCTCAACTCAAAATCCACACCTCCCAACAAACACACCCTAAATATACAATTAACTTTTAATATTGTATATAAAAAAAATATTTAACTAGATGTCGTAGAGAAAAAAATTTGATGAATAATAAAATAATAGGTAAAGTCTTTCAAAAGAATACACCAGATGGATTTTTTTAATATTGGGAACCAAAATTTTTTTTTTTTTTTTCAAAAACAATATAACCAAAAAAATGAAAATTGTTAAATAATTAAAAAAAAAATAAACAAGACCATGTGTAAGTTAAACACAGATGTGTGATAATATGAATGTATAATTATACACAACTATGTGACAACATGACTCTTGTATAATTGTATACGACTTTATTATTTTCAGGTCAGCTGTCCCGTCAATCTTATTACATCCACTTCAGCGATTTTTATTAATTTTTAAAATGTGAAACCAAAATTAATTGAAATTGTTTTCATTAAACTAAAATTGTTGACTTTTATTGTTTTTTTTTTTTTTTTCCTTTATGTTTGGACCAAAATTAATACATTTTAGTTATATTATGACTATTATTAATTTTATTTTTTTTTCATAAAACATACACATCATTAAGTATCGGTATTACATTAAATTTCAAACATTATGAGCCTAGGTGAGTATAAATTCTACATTTTCAATAAAAGTTACTTTTTTTAGGAAATATAATTAAACTTTGAGATAAAGTAATTCTATCAACATTTAAAAATAAAGTGTTTGTTTGATTTTTTATTTGAAATTAATTTTTTTATTTAAATTTTAATTTAAATACTATTATTTGGACGTGACATTTTATAAAATAAAATAATGTATATTTAAAATACAAACAAATAAGTTGAAAGTATATAAAATTTGTTTACCCACTATTTTTTTTGACACGATTTATAATATATATAGTATTCTCTTTCAAAAGTTAACATTCAACCTAATATATTATTTTTTATATTGCCGATACGATTCTCTATATTTTAAATAAAAAATAAAATCAAAATAATAAACCCATAGCTAAACTTGTCCAAACGGTTTAAACTGCTGATTACGATTTGTCAAAATATAAACCGAAACCAATGTTCTCAATGACGATTTCGATTACGGTATTTCAATTACTATTTATAAACCGTCGGTCGGTTATGATTTGAAATGTCGGTTTATATATATTCATTTTTAGTATTTTTTTCTTTTTTATTTTCTATTTTTTAAATTTGAATTTTATTTAATAATAATTAAATTCGATTTTAATTTTATTTAGATATATTTATTTTTTATTTATTATATAAAAATCATATATATAAATAATTAATTAGATTGTTACAATTAAAAATAATTAAATAATAAATTCAGTAAATAATTAAATTAAAAAATAAATAAAAATAATTATAAAATTATTGGTGTAATAGATAATAAAATAATTTAAATTAAACATAAGCATATAACAAAAAAAAAAAATTACAAAATTTAAAATATAAAATAAAAATTAATACTACTATTATTATTATAAAATCGAATATTTTAAGTTTTTACCCTACACCCAGACAGCCGCGCGCCGCACCCTGTCTTCTTCTTCTACCTTCCCCGCCACCGCCACCGCCGCACCCTGTCTTCGTCTTCTACCTTCCCCGCCACCGCCACCGCGCCCTCCCTGCCCGCCGGAGTTTAAAGAAAAAGAAAAAAAAAAAGGCACCAGGTTGGTTCGCAGCCACATTCTAGCAGCCGAAATTCTTCCCCCATCTACTTCTTCTTCATCCCGATCCTTCGGCCAGTGGCAGTTGTTTTTATTTTTGAAAGGTAAGTTCAATAATAATATATATATATATTTCTTTGGCAGCTCCATTATATTATTTTTATGATTTTTTTAATTTTATTTGTATTTTTTCTACACAGGCGGCAATATGAATATGAATGAGAATCAAAACCAAGACGATAGACTTTCTTGTCCGCCAAAGCCCCGCGAGGTGGCTGCGGTGTTTGTTAGATATAACGTTGGGCAATCAACGTTCAATTCTTCCATTTCTTTTAGTCTAGCTATATTTTCATATTTATTGGCTCAACCGACGAAATTAGATTGGATAGGGGACGTTGTGTTGATTAGTTTGTTTCTAGGTAATACTTTGTTATTTATTACTTTTTGTCTTAGAGAAATAGTAAGACAAGAAATAGAAATATTAAAGAGTTTGGCGGA